TTTTTTCCTTCTTATTTCTTTTTCTTCGTATCGTTTCAACTCCGCGTACGCACGAGACAATCTATGTACTCCGTTCGACTCGTATTTCGACGCCAACCGATTTCCTCTTCTCCGTGTAAGTCGCGTTACGTTGACGAAGGGGCGCGGTGTCGGTAGGAACAACGTGTGCACGCTAGTGCGTCGTCGTATCTCCTTTCGCGCTTGCCGTCGTGAAATACGAAGTAGTAATAGAAGCGCGACGATGACGAGGGCACGTCGTACGATCGCCTGATCGCGTTGCTAGGAATCTACGGAAACAGGCGAAATCGCGAGTGATCTTCTTTCGAACGAAATTTATCTACGATATAAACATAAAGAAGGAATTGTTTGATATAAAGCATAGAAATAGAAAAGATATAAAGATTAAATCTTCACCTTGCGAAATATTCATTGCAATTTCGTTGTATTGACATCGTTACTTCAGATATTTCTAACTTTCTCTTTTTCAATATTTCGTCGGTTTGTCTGTTGCTTGTCGTGGAAAATCGTCAAGCACCAAAAGGGATCATAGAGGAGGACTCAGGCAATAGGATAGCGGCGGAAAGTTGGCGGGAAAAGTTCGTCGACACGAAGAACGCAAATATCCAGAGATCAAACTGTCACCTGGTATGATTCGAGGTCTTCTGGATACTTTTTTCGGTACATTGATGATCTCTTAAAATCGTCGGAACACAGTAACTCGTGGTGAACACGCGTTCTCCCTGAAGCGTTTCGGCGAGGTTCACCGTGATTCGCTTGGAATATTAATCGGATCTTCGTATCTGTGTTCGGTCTGTATAATTATCGAAATTTGTCTCTTTATATATATATATATCGTAAGGTGTGATAGATTTTGGAAAGTGGAGTAGAATTATTAGAAAAATATGTACCGGTTTTAAAGCGCAGAGATCGTTATGTTAAAAATATCGCGCGGTTTATTTGAGATCAGTTAAAAAAGTTGGAAATTTGGTGCGCCTCGAAATTCTCCCGTTCTTCGATCTTAACTTTCATCTTGAACGATTTTGATACGAAACAGATATTATACGATTACATCGGTAAACTTCAAGGTTCGTGTATATATTATGAATATATATATAATATATATATCGTGAATATTCCATTCCTGGTCTCAGTTCGCCACGAATAGCTTCTGCACAATACCGCACGAACGTATCCGTGTCCTATGTATCGGTAAAGGGTGAAACGTTCGAAACGGATATTTGATTAAACGGAAAGTGCGTGTGTTTTCGTTTAACTTTATTCGCTGTATCATTTTTCTACTTACCGAACTTGGGAATCTGAATGATATAATTTTGAATCGCAATAATAGTAGTAATAATAAAGATCGGAAAACGTACGTAACATCGGAAGAAAGCAATAGAGAATAATGAAAATTGTGTCGTCGATTAAAGGGTATAATAAATATAAGAGGGACGAAACAAAGCGTAGAGAAACGTACCAAGTAGATTCTCGTTGATTTTCTAACTTCAATATCGCTGCACGATTCAACAAGAATTATTTGAACATGACATAATTGAAAATGAAAACAACGTGTCACGTTTAGAGACGTAAGACCTTTAAACTTACGCGAAGGATATTCTGCACGATTCCTAAAACAAACAACATGTTAACGTTACGACGATACTTTGAAAATTTTAGACGAAAAAGACACGCGTTTAGCTGCAAAAGCAAATTTCGAGAGAAAAAAAGAAGACGATCTTGCGATGGATCGATACAAGATATCGAATTTTGCGTTCTGCTTTCTTACACAAAAATACAAAAAATGAAAAGAAGTAGAAAATGCAGTCCCTTACGGACTTCGATGAAAACGCACGAACTTCCCGTTTAACATAGTAAGAACGCGAGCCCCAAAGACAAATTCTCGGATAAAGGGTCCTTTACTTGATCCTCGGAAATTCTTTCAAGGTTTTATTCAAGCTCGACAAAGTGATTCCCGAAGTGTTCCCTCCGCAGTTCTTCTCATTGCTCCCGTTTTCGTTGGCTTCACGTTCGCTGTAATAGCACGCCGATACGTTCACTTTGGACCTATTTTCACGGATCGAGCTCAGCAAGGGTGGTGGGCTGACATTATACCAGCAATTCGTTTCTTAAACTTTGGTAGAGGAAACGAGGGTGAGTAATCAGGCTTCCTCGAAATTTCGGTTGGCTTTCTTTTTTTCTTTTTATTTTTCTCTTGGTTTTGCCCTGCTTCTGATTCGTCTTCGTTGGTGTTTTCGTTAGAGGTGGGTGTTTGTACGCAAAATGCTTGTATCGTTCGCCCCCGGATAAATTTGAAAGAAAGATGGAATTTTTGGCTCGCGAGAAACCTGTTTTTGTGCTTTCTTCGTATAAACGATACCGATGAATTGATGGCGAGCAGAGTCTAATAAACACGAATTCGTTGGTCAATCGCGAGCCAAGTAAAAGTACATTCGCGGTGTCACGATATCTTCGTGTGCAAATTATTATTTAGCTGATCTTGAAGAAATTCGAATTACAAAGATAACTTCGAGAACCTGGAACTTCTCGAGATTTGAGGAGCTCCAAGATTCCAAGCTCTCGCGCGTCCTATCCTCACTTTCTACTTTGTCCGATGGTTTTCGTAATCGTTTTTAGTGGTTTTGGTATTAACAATTTCCTTTTGCAGTGGTATTTTCCTCATTTTTCGCTCGAATCTCGAAAACAACGGAAAATACGGTTTACCAAATGTAACTAATCATCATCGACGAAGCACCGAGTACTAACAAGTTGCTGATCTATGTGAACACTCAGGTGCCTCTTGAAAGTTTATTCATGAATTTAAAGGATGTCAATGTATCGTAAACACTATAAAGGTCGTATCGGTGGTGACGTACGATGAGCGAGAATGATTCGATTGAAAGCTTTAACGCGAGTTACGTTGCCTAACGATACTGGCGTTATTGTTCTTATCAACATTGTATTCGGTTGTACGAGAATCTCGTAGCGGAACTTCACCAATCCACCGAGTATCGAAGTTTATTGACACAATGGATAATTGATGGTTTAAATAGCTTCGTGACCTCTGCGAAATATATGAACCGTTCAGAAGCCACGTTAATCAAATCCGTAAATCGGAAAGTACAGAAAAGCGACGACGCTACAAACGCTGCTCTTCTTAAGTTTGGTTTCCTCGCGACGAATGAACTCGTGGAAGAAGCATTCGTTTCTTGAAAATCTAGCGTCGATCGTGTTCTTACGCCATTGCAAATTAAAAAATGATCAGAAGTGGCGCTGAACAATTTATCTTCTTAGAGGCACATGCACTTACACTAAATACTTTATAGCTTTCATGTACGTTCTCACATTTATTTCATATTACATAATAGTACAACGATGGTATTTATGTTTTATTACTGCGTGACTGAAATTTCAAAATGTTTCGTATAATACGACTTAACGTGTTCGTGAAAAGTTTCGAGTGTTCGAATACTTTCACCAGTTACCGTATACATCGTATAATATTAGAATTAATCATAAACACGGTGATAACAAAATTAATCATAACTGCGATAATATTCAAATTAATCATAATGTCTCACGAAATTCACGCCTTCGTAATATCAGTTTGCATGTCTACCATTTCATCTGGCTTTCGACGAAGTTGGTCATCTGGTTGGGATTTCCGAATTGTTACGTATGCAAATAACAAGCACGTGCTGGGTCGGATCACCCGAAATACAACGGTTGCTTGATGAAGAAATGCTTCTCTCGTATTTTTCGTTATTATTGTTTGGGAAATGCATGCGGCTTATTTGGCATGACCACATCTTCTCTTGGCCACGTCACTTGGATCTTTTGCCTACGAGCTACGGGATATACTCAACGCGATTTAATTGAGGGCCACTCGCAACACAATCTGTCGCAAAAAGCTCCAAAGATTTGCACGGAAGCTTATCGAGGACGTTATATTTCCACGAAGGAAGAAACACCGCGTGAAATGCTTCGATAGATAAATTAACAAAAAAAAAAAAAAAAAAAAAAAAAAAAAAAAAAAGAAAAACTGATCAGCGTTAACGTCAAAGATTGCAGATAGATGTAAACAAGTCGAGAAACTTGCAGTGCGTATAGATGGTATTGATAAAGTTTAAGATCGAAGCTTGCGATAAATGCGAACGAAATTGATAAATTTTACGATCGATGCGTACGAATTAATAACACGGTAACGACGTGAAAAATGAACGATATAAGAGCTGTTGAATGTTTAAAGAGTGGCCCTTGGTGTTCAAACGGCAAAGCGGAAAAGAGATTCGCGAGCCGCTATGGGGAGAACGCGATAGCGAATTTCTATAACTCGCTGGCCACGAGATTTACTTGCAAAGGATATTGAATTCTCTTTAAAATATGGCCGATCTTGAATGAAACGAAACACATTTTGAAGGTAACATTGACAGAGAGGCAGACGACAAGGAGAATTCGGAACAGGACGTGAACAGGTCCAACGATTCGAGCAGCACCATGTCGGAAAATCCAGTGAGCTTCGTCGTCGGGGAGCCCGACAATGATCGCAGCGAGGAATTGGAGATCGAGGATAGCTTCCCATCCGAATCATACGATATTACCACAACGCAGGTGCAGCAGAATGCCATGGCTGGTTTGATCGAGCGCCGCAAGCGCCTCAGGTGATCTTTTTTTCCTACCCTTTTTTTTTTCTTCTCTAGATCTTGTATTTCTATTTAAACGATCAGATAAAAGCGAACAGGTAAACGGCATAATTGAAAATACGAAACACGGTAGCCGAGAACGGTCACTTTCGTTGACGCGACCCTTTTGTATTCGATTTAAGGACTCGCCACGGATCCACATGGATCCTATTGATGTTCGATGGATAAGTGATCGCGGTTAGATTATTTTTAGCCGAAGAATTATATTTTTTTACCTCAAGTGGCGAAGAGATTAATGGAAACGAAACGTTATAGATTTATATGATTTAGATATTGAAAAGGGACATACGATAACAAATGATAAGATAAAGTAACTAGTAGTAAATAAAAGTTAAAACAAAGAAGATGTTATCGACATGGGAAATCTTTTCCAACGAGAAAAATACTATGTGTATATATATATATGATGATAATTATTATTGATTGATCCTGATCGATCTTCGACAGATCAAGTCTTACGAGATTTATTCGAAGATCAGATCTTTTCGAATAACCGTTAATGACTTTGGAAATTATTATTAAAAGGCAAGGGCTATTGTACGATAATGGGTACCTTCTTTAAAAGGAGAATTCTTCCTTAAGAAGTTCTTCCGTTTTAAATGGAGACATCAGGAGTTTCTACCACGTGTTGAACCATGGGAAGTGGTATACGATTGTTTGTTGGGCACAGTTGCCCTGTGAACGGTGTCTATTCTTAAAAGACAATTACCCTTCACCATGACAATGATCTTTAAACGCTCCATAAGGATGAATGGGAAGTTATTAAGATCGTGGACGATTAGGATTGATTCATCTTCTTGTACTGTTAGGAGAGATACAAACGAGACGTGTTCGTTAGACTAGCGGAATGTTTCAAGTAGCATAATAGTATGATTTACGTGATCTTTTTATGATATCGATCTGCATTCCATGAATACGCTATAGGCAAATTTGAAACTTGTTCTTTATTTTTTTTTCTCTTTTCTAGTAGAACTCTGTCGCTATTTACGTATAATTGTGAGCACTTTTCATTTACGAGAGCAACAAAATGTAGTCATATTATCGACTCGAACGGTATTGAATATTTACAAGGATTTCATAACACATAGAACTGTCTTTATGCATGAAATTCGTCTTTTTTTTCTATTTGCCGTATTTCATCGTATACGTCATTCTTAGATTTATCAGAAGATCGCAAGACCCAAAAAAAAAAAAATTGTTTATGAAATTTAGTTAATAATTACTAGTTTCAGATATAAAAATAAAATAATTAAACAGCAATTTAACTGTTCTAAGAAATACTGATTGATATCCAATAATTAAATTGCAACACATTTATATAATTACGTAAGTTAAAGCTTAATTACCATATATATGAATAAATGTGAATAAATAAATATTCTCTTTATAAATTATTTATATTTCATTAAAATTTTCAAATTTTATTAAATGAAAAATGTATACGTTTATGTCATAAAATATTATGAAATCTGTGCTTGTGTGTGTATTTATGGAAAATATACAAATGGAAAAATACATCGACCGTACATAATATATGTATAAAAACTTACAAAATAATCAAAGTATGGTCCAGTATGGTTTTATCTACTGTATAAATCAATTAATTTGCTTTAATCATATTCATTAAAATATATATAACATATAGTTTTTGGATGTTGCTTTATTAAATATTCTTAATTCTATGCTTAAAATTAAAACTAATTATTCTGTCGTTTTCGTCAACTATATTTCACAAACGAACCTTCTTATTTCATGATCTTTAAAGTCAGGTCACGTTATATCATGCGGATTTCTCTCCTACCATCGTTTCAATGCGTATTTAGCTAGGATTTCGTAAAATTTGGAACGGACCTTGAACAATTACTTCTGTATATGATAAAACGGACTAATCGTTTTCTCAGCAAGCCGCAAACATCGATCATTACGTAATAATCGTATAAATTATTCATAATTGTATATGACATTTACAAGATAAAGAAAGGGTAACATTCGAAAATATAAATGAATTTTACTTACAAATTTTTCGTATTCCACGAACAAAATATAGGACATCATAATCATTTATTTCCGACATTTATCTTCTTAACGTTACGCGTATTCGTAGCGATGCACATTTCGATGGCGACTAAACTATAAATTGCATATTGTTGCAAAACAGTGAATTCTTTAACGTTATTATTATTATCATTTGTTGTTCCGAACGTGTATTTCGGACGATAAATTTAAAGGTAATATGTCCATTACGTTAGATTACATTACGATATATGTTTAACGTCTGTAATGTGTATTACGTAAAAATATATTACATCATAGACTAATCAATAAGAAGACGAAATAAAAAAGCATGTAATTTATTTGTATTTCGTATATCACAATTAATGATATAAAAATAATAATCGAGAAAGTAGTGTATAAAATATTAACTTATTTTTATATTGAAAAAATATTGTTAACCAGATTTTGCAGTTTACAGAGGCCAAGTTTACAAAATCCAGTGTAATTTTTGAAGTTTACAAATATATCGTCTAAAATGTCTTGAAAATGCTATGAAAGAGAATTACTGTTTCCCAATACGAAGTATGTCTTTGAAATAGATGGAACGAAACGAAAGACAATCGCGAACGTGAAAGCTTTGAACTCCACGATACTTACAACTATTATTCAGCTGCTTTAAATTTCAAATAAAAGACGATGTTCATGAAACGTCGATTGTCAATGCTAAGCGACTTCGTTGCGAATGAAAATTGTAACGCTAACAACGATCATTCGTCGACGAACGCTAATAATTTTGCACTTCGTAATATTGCACGATTATGTAATCGTGACAGTATTTTAAAGAAAAAGTAGAACACCTTGCAGTTCTATCGTTTCACGTGATATTTTCTTTATTTAAATGAAATCTCCGTTCCTCATGAAACGTTTATTTAAACTGAACTGTGCCCAGTAAGACGACAACTATTTTGCGATTCACGAAAGACGTTCGCTTTTTTCACGCCGTTTACGTTAAAATTAATACCGTAAAAAATTGTAAAATTCTGACGAGGATTAGGCTTCCTTCTCTCTTTTTCTTTTTGTTACATTAACTATCAGTAAAAGAAGCAATAAATGTTTGTCTAATTAACCGATGTTCAACCTAATGTTTAATGTAAATGTAAGTTTAATGTTAATGTAAATATTCTCTTTTATTAAAAGTGGAAAAAAAAGAATTTTTTCCAGCTTTTCACAAACTTATGGACAATCGGTTTTCGTAGCGATCGCGATGAATTTCATGTTTGTTTATTCTCCATTGCGTACGTAACATTTTTCCACGGCTATTACGAAGTTCAACGTGAAGCAATACGATAACAAAATTATGTATCGAAAGTGATTTCAACAGTAGCATTGAAGAATGCAACGACGATCTACCTAATTAAGTTTCATTAGAGTCGGTTATTATGTATACCGCCTCAGTAAGTATAATATTTCTTGGAGGATGTATTCATCGCTATTTCAAAATAAGGAAAATGTACTTACGTTCCTTTTAATGAAGGTTGATGGATTATCTACCTGCAATTTTCCAATTACTTCGTCACCATCGTCACTTGGCCTTAATTATTTAGTCTTTCTTTATTCCTCTCTCAATCTCTACCAGTAAACAGCATATCCTAAATACGATAACATTTATAGAATGTGACCAGATTTATATAGTTACGTTGCACTTGTGCACGTTGCTGTAATTACGATTACATGATATTATACACCTGTAACAGTACTTACATGCATCTGCTGTTTATATCATATTTTGACTATTCCTTGGCTTTACAATCTCTGCTACATACGCGTTAAGTATCCTCTCCCTATAATTTTTATGACTCTTCTTCTAACAGTATTTATATCGAAAAAGTCATATATGATTATAAAAAAAAAAAAGAAGAAACTGTCACAACCGTAAAGTAATCTTTTTTGTTGAAATATATTTTTCGCAAATTGATCTGTTGCCTGGAATCGCCAGTATTCTCGACATAACGATATCTTCATCTACGAATCTCGTGTCCTTGCGCGGGTCGTGCTAAGTGCTAAGTTTCGAATTAAGATGAAACTTAATCTCAGCTACGTGTACACTGTCTTCAATAACAAAGGAGTTTGAAACGACAACTCTGTAATTCACCACAGTTCTATGCATACGGTAACGCGTTAAAACCGCACAAAGAAAAAAAAAAGAAAAAAATGTTTACCTAAAGACGCGGCGGGGAAACTTTTCCAAAGTGTACGTAATATCGAAGAAAGGTGAGAAACGGAATAAAAGGAATCGCCCGCAAGAAACGAAACGTTTATCGTAACGAAATTTCGATTTGTCGAAAAACTACGCATGTCGCTGGGAAGACCGACGCGTTTATCGTCTGTCACGCGTGTTAATCGGCAAATTTTCAAACTGAACATCTCGATTAAAGTTTAATGCGTGCACAATACGTGTGAGATAACGAAAAGTAACGAAAACGAAATGGAAAGAGAAGGGTGGTTTAAGGGAGCAAACACGTTCAAGCGACCAGCGAGTTGTCAGTTTGGAGCACGTTGCTTCCTTGAGCAACTTGTTATAAGGTAGGGGAACATTGGATGAAAGGTATATACTGTGCACGTTGCTACCTGTCAGTGGCCCACGAGTCTTCTAAGAATGCTGGGCAGGTATTTAAGTCGCTTCCGAGCCAGGTGTGCGCGTCCTCTATTCAGGCGTTGTGATTCGTTAAATCTGTGTCAAACGTCAGTTTCACCATACCCAAAACGATATATTCGTATCTAATTAATTTGGTGAAAGACCCACTGGGCAAGATCAACTAAAACACATTAACACAAATACCAGTTGAGAATCCAAAATCGATGGTTTTTCCTTAAATCACGGCTGAAACCGTGATCCGCGTCCGAGATCCGATTTCCATAAAAGGTCGATCGAAAGCATCGGTGGAAAGATCAAACGAAAAGTATCGATACAACCATAAGCTGATGGTTCTCCAAACTAACGATCATTTAATTCCCATTACGAACGTGGTCTATATGAAACTTGGCGTTTACTATAGCGTACTAAAACACAGATTTGCATCTAGAGGATCTTATGAATAATCAATCGATAACACGAATCAAGTATCCATTGATAATTTACCAGATGAACGATCGTGCAGTTTCCACGAAGAAATAATCGAAAGATGGAACTATGACTCGCGATGTTTGCTCGACGATCGGTAACAAGTTCGAAGTTTCTTCTCAAGAGGAGAAGAAGTGAGATGAAAAGACGCAAAAAGGTTTTCGTCGTCTTATTTTCACCTTTGGCGCGACCTACGCAAAATTAATGATTCACGGAAATCGTCGTTTTTCGTAGACTCCGGAAGATTTCAGTCGTGCGTCGCGTAGACTGGACGAATGCGAAAAAATAGCTTGTGTGGCTGAAAAATCGCGCATGGGACGCGATCGCAAATCGCAGGCGAAGAGATCCGGTGAACACGGAAATCTACGGTTGTTGACAAAACGCGTTAATCTCGAACGCGGCCAAATTCGATGAATACCACGGCAGATCGAGGCGTGTTTGAAAGAACGAGAATACTCGACTTCGGCCTCGTGAACCGGTATTCCATTCGGAAGCGGTTTCTGTAGCCTTCTTCGAAGCGAAGGTCAAGTATCGTGCAAAGTGATTAAGTCGTAGTGTAAAATAATATTTACAAAAGAAGAATACCAGACCGGTTGGAAGATGGTGATGCAGGAAAATGTTAGAAGAATATCGACCAACTATTTTATTTGTTTCTAGAAAACAAAAATGTTTGTTTGGTCAAAGATAGGTAAAATGGAATAAAAATAACGTGTACTCGTTCCGATTTTACCTGTAATGGAAGATTACGTGTAATGTTACGTATAACTGAAGATACAACGAGCATAGAGGAAACCTGTGAATTAAAATAAAAAATTGTCTGTGATACGTGCTGGATTAAATATTGGAAATTAGAATTGATCAGAAAGAAAGGAAAAATGGTCGGAGAAAATAAAATGAAAATTACGTAACCGAAGTTGCAAAATATTTGTTAGTACAAAATTCTGATCGAAAGGAAGATAACAAAGTGAGTCTGACGTACTGAAACGTACAAAATGTTGTAAGATTCTGAAGTTTTTGTCATGGAGAAGATTGAATAGTAGGGGGGTTCGAAATGAGACGCATAAAAAGATTCGTCTTAGCTCAAAGTACAGAGAAGGATCCGATTTGGAAGAGCTGCGACAACCTGATGCCTGGAATACCGAGAATGAACGAAGAAACGTCGATCGAAGAATCGACCTCTACGCCGCAACCATTCACCAACGACCAACAATCATCCACCGCCGGATTAACGTAATGCACTTTGTTGTCTTAACATCATCGAATTATAACGGTTAATTCAACTAAACCCTCGATATAGTACGACTTTCCACTTGGCTCTTTTAATCCAAAAGATAATCAATCTCTTCGCTAATATCATTGGATTATTCAGATTTCTTATCTAATTGCCTATTTCAATTTCAACTTTGTTCTACTTTAGCTTAATTTTAGTTATTTATATTTAGTTATTCGGTATGTTACTTTGATAAGCGTCATTGATGTTTCACGTCTGACAAATGTCATTTTCAATGTTCTCGTTGCACTAAAATATAGAAGACGAAGGGAAACATAGAAGGGAAATGTAGAAGAAGTAGACCTTAAAGTTCAATAATTTAATTCGAACCTTTTTCAATCGTCCTTGGTCAACGATACCGATCGAGCGTTAAATCGATCAAGAAATTGGTTTGCCCATTAAAAGATTCGAAACGAACGAAAATCGACGTAACGATGAGACAGACGGTTAAAGGGGAGAAGAAAACAATTAACGGGTAAAACGTTTGAAACATATATTTTTTTTCAATTTGAATGAAAAGACACGAATCATCGCGAAACACGTCGTTTGGTGAACTAATTTTCTCTTCGTTCACGCACGCACGCTATATACACGTTCGCATTCATTTCGAATGTCGGCAACCTTGGTTTCATTTTCACTGACATTCTGATATTTCTCATCTTCGAATTCAGGTTTCATCAGCCGATTTAGATCATTGAAACATAGCCCCGAACATAAGATAGCGAAAAGATCGATGCAGCATTGTTTTGTTGTAAATTCATAGACTTGGCCCGTTGACCTTCGTAAAAAGCGGTCCTTGTTTGAACAAACGATCGTTGCGAGTTGTTGTTCCGCTGACTAGACGTTCGATACGTTAATAAAAGAAGAAAAAGAATGACAAGGGAAGTACAAGTATATTTAGAAGTGTTTTCAGACGATACGCTGGTAGGAAAGAAATTTGAAGAACGTGTCATTGAATAATATATTATCTTGTACATATTTGCGTATTATTAGAATATTCGATGGCTCGAAGCAATACGAATATGTGAAAATAAACGGAGTATGTGTAAATATGTATCATTAAGTTTCTGTTTAAATAAAAGAGATACCAGCTATTCGGTCGGTATAGAAAATATTCGTACAGTAATTCATAGAAATATCGTAGAACATCCGTTTATCGATAAAATTTCAACGAATAAATCTTACAAGTTTGCAGAATAATTTTCATCCAAAAAAAGAACGTGATAGCTATTCCTGTTTATGAAAATATTAATAGGTATTTAGCATTGGTTAAGACGTAAATACGTAAATGGGTTTGACAGACAATTTCATGCTGATGCGAGATAACTGATCGAAAGCGTAATGCGAGCGTGAATCTTTCATAATATTTGGAGACGTTTAAAAATACCTGGACAGTGCTTATGTATAAACATTATCGACAATATACGAGACCACCTGAAAGAAAAAATATGAAGTGACCAGACTTCACCGAGGAATGATTTACAGAGGACTCTTTCAGAAGAATGGAAAAATATTTCGAATAGAGTTCTCGTTAGTTTATATAAATATATTCATACGATATAATCAAATACCTTATAATAGAATCGAAAGCCTATTAAGTATGAAAATAATCAAACTTGGTGATTTCCTCTCCTAGATATTGGATAAGCCTTTGCTAATTTCTGCCATTAAACTGTAACAGTACGACTACTTATTATGCGTGTATTTTTGTCGTTTTTTAAATATTAATATTTTGCACAAAGAGCATACATATTCTATCTTTTTTTCCAGCAGCATTATTATTCTACAGAGTAACAAGGATATGTGCATATTTTTTATTTGCTAAAATTCTATTACCAAACGTTGTTCTATAATTGGTACGAGTAATTTTGTTAAAGTTAAATACCGTACGAATACATTTCTCACTGACTGTATACATAAATTATACAAATATGTTTCCACCTCGATAAGAATAAACTATATTAATAATTGCCAAAAGAAAAGCAAAAATCTGATACCAGTCGTTTCGACTGGGTTTTGGCAGTTCTATAGTGATATTAATAGACGTTGTATCACGTAGATGTTAAATATAGCGATTATCGTGGGATATGGATTGGAAAAGAATCGCGCGAATCTGCGTTTACTCTTGAAATCTGGTTTTTTGTCAAAGAAAGAAAAGGAATGCACGTCGTATGAATAAAAACAATTTTGTACATCCAGGCGAGATACATAGGAGGTTCAGAAAGCGTTACAGACTTGTAGGAATGGCATTGCGTGAGCCGCTTAAATTAACGGTTCGTATACTTTCTCCGCTGTCATTTGCGTGTTCCCCGCTAATGGATGATAAAAATCACCTTGAAATACCAAGGGAAAAACCTAAAACCAATTTTTCATCCGGTCACACTTTCTTTCCTTCGTTTCTCGTTATTTTCTTCGCAACGTTCGATCGACGTTTATTGCAGAATATGTACCGGACGAAAGGTTCCCTCTTTACTCGTGAAAATCTTTTTTATCGTTTACTTTCATCATTTTCACCCAGATTTTCTATCCACTAACGCTTTCTCCCCTTCGTTCCTATCATTTCTTTCTCGATATAGTACACATTTTGAATATAATAGAATTCCTATCAAACAAAAGAAGATCATTTTTCTCCAACGAGGATGTATCTTATCCCCTATCTTTTTCTTTTTTTTTCTTAACGAATTTCTTAAAACATAATGGCTGACAACGATGGATAAAATCTAGCGATAATAATAATTCATTTTCATCTGGGCCTATTCGGCCTGCAAATGAATTTGGCTGACGATTCTTTACGTTCGTCGTTCCGTGCTTTTTGTACCCAGAACCATCACACGCTACCCTAGTCTGTGTGCAAATTTTAAAGCAGTTGGTACAGATTCTTCGAGTTTCTCGAGATGAGAATCGAAGCTATGAAACGAAGCCAACACCTGTTTAGTGAAAATTAATACGCGCTCCGTTTGATTTTGTAGGCCCAGCATGTCGCAGGGCACGGTGATGATTCAGACGCAGAGCCGGTTACAGGAAAAGGACTTCACTATTGCCACACCCGAGGAGTTTGTTCATCGTTTCGGCGGTACCAAAGTTATCAACAAGGTAACGTTGTTTTCTCGACGAGTACCGTATATTCTTCACTACGTATCTCTACTACAACAGTCGATTTTTTAGCGTGTGAATCTTGCAGAAATTTGTGCAATTTTTAACATTCTAACAATTTGAATTATTATTGGATCTTATTGTCGGAAGATGTAATTTCTTTTTAACGGAGAAGATATTCGACATCTTCGGATAGAAGGAACGAGTCGAATAGAGCAGGAGATGATTTAATTTGTAGAAAATATTCGCGCACAGGATAGTAATCTATAACTAAGAGACGCAACTTTTTAATAAAATCGATACTTAAAGCAGTCGAGTATAAAAAAGCAATTGCAGAAGGAGGTCGTTCAACGCGTAGATATGTCGCGTTCCGCTTCAGTATTTCTCAAGGCAGTCGCCGTACAGTTTCGCAACAATGGCCAAACGACCTTCGTAGTTGACCTCGAGCGACCTTGAATGATCTTGAATCATAGGTTGCTAGATATACCTGTTCCGCGATACTCCACTGTAATAGCAATGTGAAACGCACATTGTTCCTTCCGCGAACGAAACAAGATAGTACCGTGACAACTTTAACTTGGAATATCTTTCTTTATTAATTGTTAGTCATATTCGTCTTAATTCGGATCTAAATGTTTTTATGCAAATTACATCTCCTCGATTTTGAAAAGCGTAATTATAACTTCAACGATTTATCTTCTAATAACATCGGACTATCGACTATAATTATGTTATACATAAAAAGAGAAGAAGATAAAGTATTATAAAAAGTTTGGTTGTTTTACAGTTCTAGCGTTAACAATCTTTCGCCATATAATTATTGCTCGATACCGAACCGACGAATTAGTTTTGTCTAGATCGTAAATTTGTTTTAAGATTTGAATAGATTTTCCTTTGTTTCTCAGTTTCGCCTTGGACTCCAATGTATTTTTGTTTTCTAAACGTATTTGTGTATCTCAGATTGCAAGTGCCGTTACCAATGACACACTAGTCCTTCAATAACATTTTATCGTCAATATTTAGTCATCGCTTAAATGACGCTTCACGGTTAACGATCGATAGAGTGATGAAATTTTTCAAATCGCAGGTCCTAATCGCCAACAACGGAATAGCGGCTGTAAAATGTATGCGTTCGATCCGACGATGGTCGTACGAAATGTTCAAGAACGAACGCGCCGTACGTTTCGTCGTGATGGTCACTCCGGAAGATCTAAAAGCGAACGCGGAATATATCAAAATGGCTGATCAGTACGTACCCGTGCCAGGTGGAACCAACAACAACAATTACGCGAACGTCGAGCTGATCGTAGACATCGCTGTACGCACTCAGGTGCAGGCTGTATGGGCTGGTTGGGGTCATGCCTCTGAAAATCCAAAATTGCCAGAATTACTGCACAAAAATAACATGTGTTTCATTGGTAAGATCCTTTGGATGACGATGAAGAGATAGCTGAAGATTATTCTGTAAATTGTGAAGTAAATTCTGTAATCTTACACTACCATGCATAAGTACGACGACTATCAAAGTATTGTAGTATAGCCGTAATAATTTGAATATATGCAGATACTTATGCACAGTAGGGTATTCGAGGAAATATTCTTCTTAGTTGGTTTTGAAGAGATGCGATTCGAAATATCAAGAAATTACGAATTGAAAGAATAAATGAATGAATAGTAATTATCTTTCAGGGCCATCCGAGAGAGCAATGTGGGCCCTTGGAGATAAAATCGCGTCAAGTATAGTAGCGCAAACTGCAGATGTCCCGACACTTCCTTGGTCAGGTTCGGAACTAAAGGCACAGTACAGTGGAAAAAAGATCAAAATATCTTCGGAACTTTTCAAGAAAGGATGCGTTTCGACGGTAGAAGAATGCTTGGCAGCAGCTAACAAAATAGGCTTTCCTATAATGGTGAAAGCTAGCGAGGGAGGCGGTGGAAAAGGTATCAGAAAGGTGGAGAACGCTGAAGAATTGCCCACACTGTTTAGGTAAGAAGGAAATTTGTCAAATTAATTTAAAAGATTTTTTACATGGTTCGTTACATAAATTGCAGACGTTACGTAAAGAATATTTATGTAACAAGATGTTGGAAACTTTATATTAAGAATGCTTAACGATTTTCTTAGGCAGGTACAAACTGAAATACCCGGATCTCCGATATTCATTATGAAATTGGCAAAATGTGCTCGCCATTTAGAAGTTCAATTATTGGCTGACAATTATGGAAACGCGATATCGTTATTTGGTCGTGACTGTTCTATTCAGAGAAGACATCAAAAGATTATTGAAGAAGCGCCTGCTGTGGTTGCTAAACCCGAAGTCTTTGAAGAGATGGAAAAAGTAATTGTCGATCCTATTCGTGAATCAAAAATATTTCACTTTTCTACCATAAATTAATTAACAGACATTATTGTGAAAATTTGTGTTCATCCCGTACAGTACTTTTTACATTATTGTTTATTGTAACAGGCTGCTGTAAGATTGGCCAAAATGGTTGGATATGTCAGCGCAGGTACTGTCGAATACCTGTACGACACTTCTGGACGATATTACTTTTTGGAATTGAATCCGCGTCTTCAAGTGGAACATCCGTGTACTGAAATGGTATCCGATGTTAATTTGCCCGCGGCACAACTTCAAATTGCTATGGGGCTACCATTACATCATATTAAAGATATTCGTCTTCTTTATGGTGAAAGTCCATGGGGAGATAGTGTCATTGACTTCGATCAACCGAGACACAAACCCCAACCATGGGGTCACGTGATAGCTGCGAGAATTACTAGTGAAAATCCTGATGAAGGTATAAATTATATTTCATAAAAGAAATTACATTTGATCGCGCTTGATCATTAAGGAATTCTGCTGTAATAAATTTTAATATCTCCATTAGGTTTTAAACCGAGTTCTGGTACGGTACAAGAACTGAACTTCCGATCCTCGAAGAATGTTTGGGGTTACTTCTCGGTAGCAGCTTCCGGAGGTCTCCATGAATTTGCAGACTCACAATTCGGACATTGTTTCTCTTGGGGAGAGGATCGTAACCAGGCTCGAGAAAATTTGGTCATAGCTTTGAAAGAATTGAGCATTAGGGGTGATTTCAGAACCACCGTCGAATATTTGATTACGCTATTAGAAACTGAATCTTTCCAGCAGAACAATATAGATACTGCGTGGCTTGATTTGTTGATTGCTGAACGCGTTAGAAGTGACAAACCAGATGTATTATTAGCCATAACGTGCGGTGCGCTTCATATCGCTGATAGAACAATCACTGCCGCTTTTTCTGGATTTCAAACAGCGTTGGAGAAAGGACAAATACAAGCCAGCAATGATTTAGATAATGTTATCGATGTAAGTTGATTTTTATATCGTCAATTTGTGTATAAATACTTGCTTACGAATATTATAAATTTAACAAAAATTTTTTTAGGTTGAACTCATTAACGACGGATACAAATATAAAATACAGACTGCTAAGTCAGGCCCTAATAGTTATTTTCTTGTTATGAACGGTTCCTATAAAGAAGTAGAACTACACCGACTATCGGATGGAGGATTATTGCTTTCTTTGGATGGTGCAAGTTTCACGACTTACATGAGGGAGGAAGTCGATCGTTACAGGATCATCATTGGAAACCAAACCTGCATCTTCGAAAAGGACAACGATCCTTCTTTATTGAGGTCACCATCAGCTGGCAAACTAATCAGCTATCTAGTCGACGATGGTGGTCACGTGGACGCTGGACAAGCATACGCAGAAATTGAAGTCATGAAAATGGTAATGACAATAACAGCGAGCGAAGCTGGTAGCGTTTTTTATGTTAAAAGACCAGGTGCCATTCTCGAGGCCGGTACGTTGATTGCTCGATTAGAATTGGACGATCCATCTCTGGTAACAAAAGCTCAGGAGTACACTGGTAAATTCCCGGAAACTGTAGCTCCAGCAATTTCTGAAAAATTGAATCATCTTCATGCTGAATACAGAACAGCTTTAGAAAACACTCTCGGAGGATATTGTTTACCAGATCCGTACCACGTACCTCGAGTACGAGAACTTCTTGAGAAATTCATGAATTCCCTTCGTGACCCTAGCTTACCATTGCTTGAACTTCAAGAAGTGATCGCGACGATATCAGGAAGAATTCCGATTTCCGTAGAGAAAAAAATCAGGAAATTGATGTCGCTGTACGAAAGAAACATAACTTCTGTTTTAGCTCAATTTCCTAGTCAACAAATTGCTGCTGTGATCGATGGACATGCAGCAAGTCTTTCCAAGCGATCTGAACGCGACGTCTTCTTTTTAACTACCGAAGCTATAGTGCAACTGGTACAAAGATATAGGAACGGAATACGTGGAAGAATGAAGACCGCTGTTCACGAACTACTTCGACAATATTACACCGTTGAAAGCCAGTTCCAACAAGGACATTACGATAAATGTGTTTCTGCTTTAATCGACGAGTACAAAGACGATGTAGCAACAATAACAGCTATGATTTTCAGCCATAACCAAGTCACGAAGAAGAACGTTTTGGTAACTATGCTCATAGATCATCTCTGGGCGAATGAACCTGGTCTTACGGACGAGTTATCGAGCACGCTGACGGAACTAACGAGCCTGAATCGTACAGAGCATAGTCGTGTCGCGTTACGTGCGAGACAAATTCTAATCGCTGCTCACCAACCTGCTTACGAGTTAAGACACAACCAAATGGAATCTATATTCTTGTCAGCGGTAGACATGTACGGCCATGATTTCCATCCAGAAAACTTAGAGAAACTTATCCTTTCCGAAACATCTATTTTCGATATTTTACATGACTTCTTCTACCATTCCAATCGTACAGTTTGCAATGCTGCTTTGGAGGTTTATGTTCGCAGATCTTATATTAGTTATGAGTTGACTTGCGTGCAACATCTGGAATTGTCTGGTGAAGTACCGCTTGTACATTTCCAATTTTTGCTGCCTAACAATCATCCTAACATACAAAACCAATCTTCGGTTAATCACAGAGTCGGGGCTATGGCAGCTTTCCAAGACATGGATCAATTCACCCGATATTCCGACGAAGTTTTCGACCTCCTAGAGGATCTGTCTTCGATTACCTCAACTTCAGCCAAAGTTTTAGCAGAGGCAGTAGACGCAGCTGCAAGCGAATCGAGACACAGCACGTCCATAAACGTATCTTTAAGCACTGCGGAAAATACTGGTACAGCGGAAATGGGTGAACGATCTGCAGAACCGGTACATATTTTGAGCATTGCCGTCCAAGAGAAAGAAAATCACGATGATGTTACGATGGCGAAACTCTTTGGAGATTGGTGCGCCGCGAACAAAGAGGAATTAATCTCACGAGACATACGAAGGATCACTTTCACTGTTTTAAAGAAAAGACAATTCCCAAAATTCTTTACATACCGTCAAAGAGATGGTTTTGTTGAAGATAAAATTTATCGGCATCTCGAGCCTGGTTGTGCTTTCCAATTGGAATTAAACAGAATGAGAACTTACGATCTTGAAGCTCTGCCAACCTCGAATCAAAAAATGCATCTCTACCTTGGCCGGGCTAAGGTTGCCAAAGGACAACAAGTCACGGATTATCGTTTCTTCATTCGTTCCATTATAAGACACTCTGATCTTATCACGAAGGAGGCTAGTTTCGATTATCTTCACAACGAAGGTGAACGTGTACTATTAGAGGCTATGGATGAATTAGAAGTCGCGTTCTCGCATCCGCTTGCTAAGCGTACGGAATGCAATCATATCTTTCTAAATTTCGTACCCACAGTTATTATGGATCCAGTAAGAATAGAAGAAAGCGTGACCAGTATGGTACTGAGGTATGGCCCGAGATTATGGAAATTACGAGTACGTCAGGCTGAGATTAAAATGACGATTCGGCCAGCACCAGGGAAGCCAACGTCTATTTTACGTTTGTGCATTGCCAACGATAGCGGATATAGCATAGATTTGCATCTTTATATGGAGGCAACCGATCCAAAGACTGGTATCATTCGTTTCGAATCTTATCCTTCTTCGACGGCAAATGGTACCTGGAGACCAGGACCTATGCATGGTCTACCAATTTCTACGCCATATCTAACCAAAGATTATCTTCAAGCAAAACGGTTCCAAGCACAAAGTTCTGGCACAACGTATGTATATGATTTACCAGACATGTTTAGACAACAAACCGAAAAAATGTGGATTAAACACATAGAAGAAAGGCCACAATGCAATATAACTATTCCAAATCCTGTGATGGATTGCGTGGAATTAGTATTAGAGGGTGACAATTTAGTGGAACAAAAACGACTCCCTGGTGAGAACAACGTTGGTATGGTTGCTTGGAGATTAAGACTTTATACACCAGAATATCCAGTATCTGGTCGAGACATTATACTGATAGCAAACGATTTGACACATTTGATTGGTTCTTTTGGTCCGAAGGAAGACTTAGTGTTCTGCAGAGCGTCTGAAAGAGCTAGACAGCTTGGAATTCCTCGAATATATTTCTCTGCAAATTCTGGCGCTCGCATTGGTCTAGCAGAGGAAGTGAAAGCGTTGTTCAGAATTGCTTGGGAGGATGAGGATGAACCGGAGAAAGGATTTAGATATATATATTTAACACCAGATGATTACGCGCGTTTAGCACCGCTTAATTCAGTGAAAACTTCGTTGATCGAAGATAAAGGAGAATCTCGTTACAAGATTACCGATATTATTGGTAAAGATGATGGTCTTGGTGTAGAAAATTTAAAATACGCTGGTATGATTGCCGGAGAAACATCGAAAGCCTATGACGAAATCGTTACGATTTCCATTGTATCTTGTAGAGCGATTGGTATTGGCGCTTACCTAGTACGTCTTGGACAAAGGGTCATCCAAATAGAAAATTCTCACATCATTTTAACTGGTTACAAAGCACTGAATACTGTGTTAGGCCGTGAAGTATACGCTAGTAATAATCAGTTAGGTGGTATACAAATTATGCATAATAATGGGGTATCACATGCAACAAACGTAAGGGACCTAGAGGGTGTTGCCACTGCTTTAAGATGGTTAAGCTACTGTCCCAAATTTAAGGGTGCACCCCTTCCTATATTATCAGCACCATTTCCTGATCCAGTCGACAGAGAAATCATGTATGTTCCTACAAAAGCAGCATATGACCCGAGATTCATGCTCGAAGGTAGAATACAAAATGGTACAAATTATTGGGAAAGTGGATTCTTCGATCGTGGCTCTTGGCAGGTATATTTTATATTTTAGATTAATATTACATGTTAATTTAGTTTAATAAAATGACTCGAACATTTCTATACTATTAATATTACTTACAGGAAATCATGAGGCCTTGGGCTCAAACTGTAGTAACTGGACGAGCAAGATTAGGCGGAATACCTTGCGGTGTTATTGCAGTAGAAACAAGAACCGTTGAGTTGCACTTACCTGCTGATCCTGCTAATCTCGATTCAGAAGCTAAAACGATATCTCAGGCAGGACAAGTATGGTTCCCTGACAGTGCATACAAAACTGCTCAAGCTATCAAAGACTTTGGAAAAGAAGAGCTTCCACTTTTAATTTTTGCTAATTGGAGAGGATTTTCTGGTGGAATGAAAGGTTTTTATTGATTTTTAATAATTACTAAAATTTCATTCTTACCTATTGAATGAATTACTAACGTTATATCTTTTCTAGACATGTACGAGCAAATTATCAAATTCGGTGCTTATATTGTGGATGGCTTACGAGAATATACCAAACCAATATTTGTATATATTCCACCAAATGGAGAACTAAGAGGTGGTGCTTGGGCTGTCGTTGATCCAACGATAAATCCTCGCTACATGGAAATGTTTGCTGACAATACAAGCAGAGGTGGAGTTTTAGAACCTGGTGGAATAGTAGAAATCAAGTTTAGAGCTAAAGACATAATTAAAGCTATGCATAGGGTTGATTCAGTAATACAGAAGCTTAAAGTAAGAAACTAATTTTGTTTCCTTATAATCTTTTACATTTTATAAATAGTAGGTCGTGTGTGGGACACATTATGATATCAATCATCGTTTTAGGAAAATCTAGCCAATGCAAATTCAGCTGAAGAACGAACAGACATTGAAAGCCAAATTCGTAAGAGAGAACAACTTTTAGAACCTATGTATCGGCAAGTAGCAGTTCACTTCGCGGATCTTCATGATACACCAGAGAGAATGTTTGAGAAAAATACCATTCATGATATTATTCCATGGAAAAAAGCACGCAGACTGCTTTATTGGCGACTTAGAAGAAGACTTTTGGAGGATGAAATAAAGAAGGAAATTCTATCAACCCAACACACTTTGGACGTTAGACAAGTCGGTGCAATGTTGCGTAGATGGTTTATAGAAGACAAAGGTGCCACAGAATCTTATCTGTGGGATCAAGATGAAGCTGCAACGAATTGGTTGGAGAATCAACGTCAAGATGAAAATAGTGTTGTTTCCCGTAACATCACTTGTGTAAGACAAGACGCAATCGTTTCTCGAGTCAAAGAGGCCCTTGAAACTTGTCCAGAAGTGAGATTAAATGCAATTTTAGAAATTGCGCACAGATTACAACCAGCAGAACGTGCAGAATTGCAAAGAACTTTATTACAGATAGAAACGACCACACAGGAACACCACAATGATTCAAGTGCTTCGTCCTAATGTTTTTCTAAATTAAGAAAAATCTCTTGTCTATCTGCGTACCTGGTGTATGTAGTTCTACATCTTAGAATTAATTGTACAGATACTCGTTATTCTTGTTAATAGCAAATTGTACGGGAGTAGTATAATTTTTGGAAAGTTAATAATTGTTTCTATCGATAGCGTTACTTGATGATAGAAAGTAATCGAACTCGTGTCTTATTCAAGTTCAATGGTGATGCTATCGAGTGTCAGACAGTATCACTGCCGTCTCCTAAACCATGGCAAAACGTGCCCTTTGTTTATAATGAGTGTATTCATGAATATAGAAATTATATTGCACATATGCGTACATACATATATATAAATAAATAAATAAGTAATATATATGTGTTTATTTATTTATATGTATATGCATGTATGTATGTGTATTTTTTTTAGAAAAAAGTTTGTTCATTGCGTTTACTTTTACCGAATGACTAATGTGTACATCGATATTTCCCATTTCCGTCGAAAAAAGGAAAACAGATCGATGGGTAATTTTTAAAGTACGAAGTACTATTTTTCCAATCGTGTGTGATACGAAATATAAAAAATTCTTTGATCTTTAGGAACAATTTAATGCGAATAAAGAGGTAGATAATAAAAAATTTTATGAACCTGAATGTTTAACAGAAATAAGACATTTAATACAAAATAGTTGCTAAATAATTATACATATATATATTTTATACTATTTTTAATTCATTGATACCAAGTTCAAATGTACATATATTACATGCAGTCATATCGTTTGAGACATAAAAATTCTCGATACTCTCTTCGTTCGTGTCATTGTCCTTAAAAGACTGAAATCTGACTTCGATGCACATCAATTAGATCATCATCTAGAGTAAGCAATACCATAAATGAAAAAAACATTGCTAAAGCTGACAAAAAATGCCAAATGTCATGACTATCAAAAAAGTTTAGGAGTATGCAGGGTTTATTATAATTGCGCGATTGTGCTGGGGTTAGCTCCCACGAGATAGAATTGTGTATAAAAAAATATAAAGCGGCGCCCCAAAACGCGATTGATAACACAATATAAATCGCTGGTTGAAGTAGAATTCGTTCTTTGTGACAAACCTGGAATATCACAAAGTAAATTAATTCATAATATGTAGACAAACTACATAAGTATAATTATTCGTGTATATGTACATACCTTCATAACAATATAAAAAAAAGTATATAAAATTAAATTAGACATTAATACAGCCAACAGAAACGTTGCGAAATTTTTCTCGCTGTGCATATTCCCAAGTACTGCGAGAGCAACGTTCCACAAATTTCCTACAATAAGTATAATAAAACGTCCCATATATAAAGGCCGAAAGAAATATCTAATTCCAGAACGGGCATCATGTTTACTAATCTAGAAAATTATAAAATCAATGATAAACTGTGCCTAGTAGAAGTAACTGAATCAAGGTAAAATGAAAAATATTAGATTCAAATACCAAATGCCTAAAATTACCTGTATTACTCTTATCAATAACGTTCTAACTTTCCATCGCCCCATGTAGTAAATTTGAATAGTCATATAAAGACAAGTGAGCAAATGTACGATAGTAAACAGAACCCAAAAGTATATTGAACCATATAAGACTCCCAACAATCCTATGAAGATGATGAATGCTAACATTGCAAATGTAACTGATGCTCGGGCATTTATATCAGGATGACGATTGTGATAAATCTTGATCATACATAGCACTGTTATGATGTACATAAAACTCGTATCTAAATAGATAATATAATATTTGTCATTAATACTATAAAAAAAATGTATAAAATTTAATTTTTGTCTTACCGAATTGAAAGTTACTTCGATTTGGACATACGTGATAACTTCCTGAGAGTATTCCTTCCATAATGAGCGCAGTGCCCATTGCATAAAATAATCCATAATGTTGTGGTATGCCATAACATTTATTTTTTTCTCTTTCAAATTCATCATGTTCTCGAGAAGATGTTAAAAATATAAATAGAAAACCCAACATGACGTATCCGATATTTGAAAATACATGATTGAGATCTGACAGTGATAAAAATGGATGAGCACATAAAAAATTGTAATAACACATATCTTGATTGCCAGTAACATGTAGTACATGTTGGTACGTAATTAACAGCTGTACCGCAGGTAAAGTATAAAAAATAGCAACTGTTATCAAATAATATAAATATAATCGAGATTTATGTCTAAGAATCTTTGGATCTTTACGAGCCAAATCGCAAACGGAAAGCACAAGTTTTGTTCGTATTATTTCTTTATCACAAAAAGCATCTTCCATTAAGTCGATATCATCTTCATCCAGTGAAGAATCATCTTCTATGGATATTGATCGGTGTGGAATAGACTGTAACATAATTAATGTAAGTGATGAGAAAAATTTCTTTTATTTCTTAATTAGTATATCGCGATACCTCTTCTACCGTTGATGGGCTTGGTATAGGTTCACGAATTTGCTCTGATTCTTGATGTAATATCTCTTGTTTAATTTTTCTTTCCCTTCTAATTTTTGATATCACAATGCTTACAACATAGGCTATACAGAAACTAAAAATAATAAATACTACTACTCCTGAAGCAATAACATAATCTCGTTTGGTAATACTAGCATTTATTGCTAAATTAATGCGTTTATTCCGTACAGGAATCATACTAGGAGCTCCATAACAATCTGTATCATCACCTTTTACTACAAGTACCACAAAAAAGCCCAATGGATATTCTTGTTTCTAAAATATATTAGATTAGACATGTTATTTCGTTATCTATCATGAAAGGTATATTTAAAATTATATTATAGTCAAAAATATATTTACTGGCACAGTTATACCGCCTTGTCGATTTACAGTTTGCCAATAACCAGAAAATTGAATATTCCTCTCTAAATCAAACACAGGACACTAAAAAAGAAGATATGAACTAATAATAATACGATTTTACAAATTATAAAAACTTATACTTACTGTTGTATTTTGTATTGAAACTGTCATACAAATATCACTATCAGAACTAACACGAATGATCACAGAAGAACTTTCCGCTTGCCTTGGGAAAGTATAACCATAATAAATAGGTTGGGATGGTGAAATTTCTACTACTCTTTCTTCTCCAGGACTGGCATAGAATGGAAACATGAAACAATTACTAATTTTTCTTTTTTATTACAATAACGATCCAAACATAATTACATACCTTATATAAAAATCGTACTGTCTTGTCATGTTAAGTTTAAATGAAATATTTTGATAATTAGCAGTGGACAAACTAACAGTAATAAATTCTTCTTCCTCTTCTAGTCTACTTTGATTATAATTGGTTGAACACAAAGTTTGACTTGTTTTATTATATGCTAAATCATCAAAATATGCGCTTTGAACTACAAGGGGGATTTGCCATGATAGGATTTCTCTTTTTTGACGAACAACCACTATAAGAGGTAGATCGGTAGTAGCATTACTTTCAACTACTATTCTTGCAGTTACCTACAAGTAAATAATACATGAAAACTATGGTAAAATATCATGACATTAACTTACATATATAAAATTATTCATACTTACATTATTAACAGGATATAAAAACACATATTCAACAGTAGTGTTTATGACATATTGATATTCTTTCTTATATTCTGCCACAATAACAATAGGAGAAAATGATAGAGTTTGAAAAGGAATAACTTGATGAAGATCAAATGATAATAACAGAGCAAATACGGTTAAAATCCTCTTCATACTCAACATGTTGAATATTTATATATTTGTATGTAATTATATCAACCACTATTTTCGTAAGCTACATACATAAGTTTATTCGACTCTAACTATCTTGAAACTATAAAACTAACAACACAAAAGTATGTTTTTTTTTATGTCAACATGAATTGTGAATCATAATTCCGTTGACAAATAATTTTTTAAAGATAACTTGCCATGCAGATACTTCTGCATAGCTATCTGTCGCATATTTACATTCACAATATTGATGCTATAATACATACATAATATGTCACTCTTCGTTTTAATTCACATCACATAAGTATGATAACCATAGTTACGATTCTTGAACTCTATATCGAATGTTATGTATCAAATAAATCAATGAATCTGTATTTAAAAAAATTAATATTTCGCTGTGATTTGAATTACTTTAATACTAATTATTTTTATTGGATACTATATTTTATCAATTTTCCAATAATTTTTCACATTTGGTTTGAATAAATTATAAGCTTAAAGGTTGTATTGCATTGCTGCTGCAGCATAAACTTTCAACACAGTTTAGTATGCAGTACTGGTGCGTATTATAAATTAAAAGTCTAATCATTCGACGTAAAAATGATTTAATTATTTGTATACAATTATAAATAATATAAGTATACTTTACAAGAACTCAAATAAATAATTACAACATAAATTTTATATTTTGCCACTGTGAACTAAAGAATAGTAAAATTATATAAATTCGAATTTTTAACAAAACATACAGCATTTTAATTACTTTACGTCTTTCATAAAAATAATAAATTTATATTCATGTGTCGCATTCATTTTAATTCCATGTTTATTGTAACAAATTATAAATGTTTTTCAATGAAAAATCTTATTATATATTTTTAAGTATCATAAAATAAAATGCATACGGTTTTAATAAAATATTGTATAAAATATTATATTATTCTTTCTCAGAATGAGTGCTGAACAACGAACAACCTCATTCATTATACTGATTCGGCTTTAGTCATTGTTATTAAAGATGGCGGTATCCGTGGCACCAAAAGATGTTAATACATATTTAAGTCAAAATCAAAATGTTGCAGACAAAGAATTGGCTACAGAATGGGCGCAACTCGAAGAATTATACAATAAAAGGTATATTTTGTAAAATATTCTGCATTACATGCATGTTTCAATAGAAAAATGTTTACCTAAATTTCATCGTCCGGTGACTTGCAGGCTTTGGCATCAATTGACACTTAAATTAGAAACATTTGTTAAAAATCCAGCGCTTCAGAAGGGAGATAAATTAGTACAGTTATATATAAACTTTTTATCTACTTTTGAAAACAAGTAAGTATATTATATACGTATTTTTTTCGAAATATTAATTCATAACCTTACTTATTCCACTTACATAGTAATTCAGATTATCATTGTGTTGTAATACTATTCTCCTATTTTTATTTAGGATAAATCCTTTATCATTGGTAGAGATATTAGCATATGTAATACAACAGTTTCAAGATAAACAAGAAGCAATTAAATTCTTGGAAAAAACAGAATCTAAAGTTAAAAGCAATAATGAGGCAGTTGCTTTGTGTAAAGTTCTCACAGGACAGATCTTGCTTGAAAAGTTAAATAATCAAGAACAAGCAAAACAAATTATAGAGGAAGTAGAGGCTATATTGGATAATGCTGATGGTGTTACAACAGTTCATGGTAGATTTTATTTATTAGCGAGTCGCCTTTATCGTCTTCAGGGGAAACATGCTGAATATTATCGTACTGCTTTAAGGTACTATTATACTTATAATCTGGAGCAATGGTCATTTTTATTATGACAAAAGTAATCCATACATGTTATTTGAACTTATTTTCATATTCCAGATACTTGGGTTGTATTGATTTAAATAATCTAAGTAGACAAGAACAGGAGCAGCATGCATTTTTCCTTGGATTGGCTGCACTTTTAGGTGAAGGAGTCTATAATCTTGGAGAATTGTTAGCTCATCCAGTTTTACAATCCTTGAAAGGTACTCCAAACTCTTGGTTAGTTGATTTATTACAAGCTTTCAATGCTGGTGACATTGTTGCACTTGAAAAATTAAAGCCACAATGGAGCAAAGTTGCTGATTTAGCTGCACAGGAGTTAAAGTTGAGACAAAAAATATCTCTTTTATGCCTCATGGAAATGACTTTCAAAAGGCAAGCTAATAATAGGTTTGTATATTGCTTATTGTAAAAGTACTAAGGAACCAGATAATGTAAAACAATCTGTATTAAATAAACTTCTTTTGTCATAGGCAATTAACATTTGCGGAAATTTCTCAAGAAACTCGTTTGCCTCTCGGTGAAGTAGAATTATTAGTAATGAAAGCTCTAGCTCAAGGTTTAGTTCGTGGTGCTATTGATCAAGTGGCAGGAACAGTAAACATGACATGGGTACAGCCTCGCGTATTAGATCGTACACAAATAGCTGGAATGGTTCAACGACTTGATGGCTGGTGTAAAGATGTTAGTTCAATGGAACGTTTATTAGAGTCTCGAGCGTCAGAGATACTTACACTTTAATATTAGGTTTAACATTTTTGTCATTGATTTGTTTGTAAGTTTTATTTTCATATCTTTGTTAACTCACTGGCTTATCATCATTTTAAAAATAAAAAATGTAATTTACTACAATTGATATAAATACATAATAATTATGTATAAGATTAATTTCATTGTGATAAGTCAGTGAGTTAATATAAAAGGACATATAAGATACAGTTTCTCAAATATAAAATTATGATGCTGTTTACAAACGAATTAAAAAGATATATAAATTTATTTTTAACTTAACATCCTACACAGAACAATTTAATGCAATTTTTAATGTTTCTATAGAATAATTATTTGAACTTTTTGTGCTCAGAGACTTTGTACTATGACTGAAATATTAATAATAACAACATATATTAACATTTATAGCGTTTCTCTTGCTTGTTCACATATTCTTTAGATATTAATAATTTTCTGCAGTAGTATACTGCTCCTACATATCCATCAACACAATCATGAAATATACATATTATGTATTTATATAAAAGCATAAGAAAAGAATAGGTATATAGAAACGTGTTTTAGCATTAAGATATTTCTAGAATAAAGTTTCTATAATTTTAATTGTAACCCTATTGTAAGTATTTATATTACTTTTACACATATTACTTTTACATTGTAGTTTGTGTTCCTTTCTAAAAATATAAGTTCAAAAGATCTCGCGAGAAAAGCAAAATTCACAAAATATATGTTATATGCACATATGTATACCTGTGTATACTAACCTAACCTGTATATAACTGTGTATCGTATCATTCTGTGAATACTTGTTTATTATACTTCGTGTTTCTAGGTTATCCAACTAAAATAAAAGAACTTTTTATTAAAATATATTTATAAATAATAATTTAATAAAAAAAAATATATAATTCTTAAAATCCTGTAGATGAGGATGAAATAAATTCACAATATAAGATATATTAAGCAATTAAATATTGTAATTAATAAAACTATCGATGATATTTAGGTTAGAATAACCTAAAAATACTTGATAATTTAATATAAAAATTACAACTTTTAAGGTTTTAAATAAATTTTAAAACAATGGACGACAGTCCAGTTATGAAACGACCTAAACCAAGTGATAGCGAAGAAGAATTGTTTCGTATGCAAGAAGAATTTTTAAGAAATAAGCAACAACCATCAGCCAAAGTGATTAATTTAAGAAGATCTGAAACATTTTTAAATACTAGTTCTGCTGTAGCTACTAACAGTCAAACAAATTCTAACAAAATAAGATCAAAATTTTCTGAATCAAAAAGATTAAGAAATCGTGACAGGGTATCTACTTCTCAAAGTAGTGGTGATGTTATAAATCCTGCGATTAAAGAAGAAGCTGGGAAAAATCTCAACCCTGGATTGAAGAATTTTGTTCATAATATGCAAATAGCATCTTCATCGATAATATTAGGAAATATCATTGAAAAGAAATATGATACATGCAAGTATGAATTTGATAAAAAGGAATTTCTTTGTTCCAATAATGGTTTTCCTGAAGTCTTCGTGTCTAAATACATGGTAATCACATATTTTTATTGTAACAACAGATATAATGGAAATATTTGAAAAATACATTCAAATGTTTAAATTTTATTACTTTTTCAGAAAAATGATAAAAATGGAAGTTTATTTTTGCATGACATTTCTCCTAAAAGCATTGTTAGAAATAAAATAGAAAAATCTGAAAAGATTGGACCTTTATGTAATACAGATAGTAGTGTTATTGTAGAAGGATCATGGGCAAATGAAATACATACAGAAAATTTGGAACGATTAAGCCAAATGACTCAAGAGGATATCCTTAAAGAAAAAAGTAAACTTGAGATGACTTTAAAGCCAGAATTGATACAATTTTTAAAAAATAGAAGGAATAAAAAACAAAAAGTAAATAAAGCTTCAGAAGACAATAAAACATCAAATGGCAAAGTTCAAGATCAAAATGAAAAATCTGTAAATGCAGAAAAGTTAGTTGCAGAAGAAATTCCTAATAAAGATCATGAAGATTTAGTCCAGAATAATGATGTCGTACCAATGCAGATAGATGAATTAGAACAAGATATACCCAAACCTTCAAAAGAATTGTTGCAACAAGCTAAAGAGAAGGGTTGGGTGCATATGGATTCTCTCGAGCCTGAAAAATTAAAATGGATGGAAAATATACCTGAAAAGAAAGATGAACCTATTCCAGATGAACCATACAATGCTCGTTTTGACTTTAATGGTAAATATCCAAATGCTAATGTATATAAGAGAGAATCTATTATAGATATACAAATAAACTTTTTTTAATAGGTGTATTATTAGCGTACAAAGACGACAATGTACCTATTGAAAAAGGTCTCCATCATCATGGAGAGGAACCCGAACGTCCTGGTTATTCTTTACAAGAATTATTGCAACTGAGTCGCTCATCGGCACAACAGCAACGCTGTACAGCTCTTACAACATTAGCAAATATTATAGAAAAAAGTCGCAAGGGTTGGTATGATAAAGCATTACAACCTGCACCATTGACTGCATTAAGTCAGAAAAATCTTCTATTACTATTAAGATTTTCTTTGGATGAAACCTCAGTAGCTGTGATCACAGCAACTTTACAAGCACTAAGAGCTTTCTTATATAGCGAAGCGGACGAAGTCTGTTTGGACAGACTATATGGTTTCCGAAATTATAAAGAACCTGTTTTAGCAACACCAAAAACTGATGTCGATGATATAAGCAATTTAAAAGATCATGAATTAGTGCAACTAGATGCAATTGCTGCCTTATTAAGAACTGACATACTATTAAGAATTAGGTACTTTTAATAATTCTATTTATGCAAATGCTACGAAAACTTTTATTAAAAAGATAATTGAAATTATTTATAGCTACATTTTGAATAAAATACGACCACCACCTGTTGCTGTAACTTGTGCATTAGAAATTCTAATTAGACTTGTAAGACATTCGCCCATTACTGTCTTAAAAATGACAAATTCTCCAAATCTATTGGAAACAATAATTGAGCATTTTATGCCTTTGTCTACAAATGCATTGGGTTCGTATATTTGTGTGATACTATATTATAATTTGCGAGATACTATAATATATATATGTGTATATATATATATATTTTATGTTTAAATAATGTGTATATACTAATGAATTAGTATATTTTTTATATTTATAGCAATGACAGATAATATAAATAATGTGTATGGTGTACCAGTAGTGGCTGCAGTTAGATTCTGTCGTATCTTACTTTGTTATGGAGGAAAATCTGTTGCCAAAAAATTAAATAGTCTTAAAATTATGCAACGCATTATATCATACGCCAGTTGTGATGCAGGGTAATTGTTTATTATAATTTAATACAAATAAGAAAAAATTTTGTAATGTATATAACATATATAAATCATAATTTTTTAATAGGAAGGGAAGTTATAATCTTATCATCGAAAATTTACGTTTGTGGAGAACATTGTTATTGCATGAAGAAGCCATGGATAGTTTAACTGGAGCACAATTATTTCTTGTGTCACAGTTACAGCTTCTGTTGAGTAATCACGATATTCAAAGCGCATCTGAATTATCTTGTGAATATGCAGCAGCTTTAATTGCTGTTGCAAGTTGCTTGACGTCGCTAAAAGCAAATATATCGGTCTTACTGTCCAAATGGAGTACACAGCTACTATCCTTAAGTAATTTCACGGTATGTTAATTTGAAGTATAATATACTACAAATATATGAATAAATATTATATTATACGTATATTTAATAACCATATATGTATATAAAATAATTGTAATCATATATTAAACGTAAAATATATTATACATAAAAAACTATTCTCGCAGTGGGGAAATACGAAACTTATCGCAGAAACGTTATTAGCAGTTAGTGATAGTACTGCGATTAAAACATTGAACATATCTCGATCGCAAGTATTTTCTAAACTTAAGTAAGTAGATGCTAAACATTTTTAAAATTACATTATATTAATATTATTTATAATAATTTTCAACGTTTTAATTTTTGCAGTTCTACTTCAAATTTGTTAAGCGATTGTTCTTTAGCTCTTGAGCGTGAGCCTTCTGCTTTGCCTCATCTGGGAGTATTAACCTATGAAGGACAAGTGCAACATATTGTATCTCACCAATCTTGTATGCCCTTCCTTGCAACAGCTTTAAATGTATTCATTGATCATTCTTTCATAGAAGAAATTCAGGCAGTACTTAGTCTTCCACAAGTCTATAGGTATTTGAGAAGATTAGAAACAACAGATTGGTGTTTAGAGAAATCATGGTATACAAGATCTGAATTGTCTTTTTTAGTTGCTATAGTAAATGCAACCACTTTTGTTAAGGATAAATTAGATAATAAAACAATGGACACTATTTGGAAAATTGCTATTAAACTCGTGTCATCTTTACCTGCCGATTGTCCATCCGATGTAAAGAAGATGCTTACAGTTTCACTAGCAAAGGAAAAATTAAATTTGGAGATAGTAACGAATGAATTAGAGAAATTAAATCTGAATTCAAATATTGGAGATATTAAATTGAATTTAAGTCGTGATATATCTGGTTTATACGAACGGTATATAGAATTAGACGGTAAATGGGATCAAGCGGCAATGCCTAAAGATTGGCTTTATTTACCTATTGTACATATTTATACAAAATGTAGAAATAATAATGCATGTAACGATGATGATAAAGCTGTCATCTTAGCCGTATTGAGTTTAGAATTAGTACTACCAGATTTGGTTGAAAAATTGTCACAAAGTTTGAGATTTAGTAGATTGGTACTTATATACCTGTGCGAGACGCTGTATTTAAGTAACGATGTTTCTGCTTTACTTACTAGAGCCGTGACAACTTTATTAAAAGATAATTACAAGAAGCTTAATTTTACAATAGATTTGCCAGGACTTAGTTCTTTTACCGATTTGTTTACTGCGATGTGTGAACATTTTTGTTCAACTTCCTATGGTGATTATGGTTTTTCAATGACCTTATTGGTACCAATTGCGCAAAGGCACGATGTTCATTATAGAAAATTGTTATGGTCGGAACATGTAGGTTTGCTTCGATATGTTAGATTACCATTAGAACAATTAGTTATTCCGTTAAAAGAATATCTTTATCCCCTTGAGGAAGATACATCTTTAATAGAAAGTTATATAACAGCGCTTGTTAGGGGAATTGTTAAACAAAGCTGGTGTCCTATTCCTTATACAATTGCATTACATCATTCTGCTATGTACTTGAAACAATCAAACAAATTAGCGGTACGAATGAGAACCCAATTAGAAAAAATACCCGATAAAGTTTTGGCTACTCTTTTGTTAAATTATCAACAACCTACATTTTAAAATTTGATTATAATTAATGTTATAGTAAATTATTAATTTAAAGTCAGAAAATATATGTATAATTTGTGAAATATGTATGTATGTTTAATACACATGTGAAGTATATGTTTGTCATATAAGTGTATGTTTGTCAATATATTCTATAATTAACAGTATTAAATAAATGATTGAAGGATTAAATAATTTATTTCAGTCGGTTTTGAAATATACAGATATCAGTGTCATTAGACAAAAAACTAATTATGCGAATAAAGAATAGGAACAATCTGTGTTTACATTTACGCAAAGTATAGAGGCACTGTTTGGTTATTTTCGCTGATTGCCAAAATTTGCAATGAATCAGTGCTATAATTAGAAAAGTATAGTAATCAGAATTTAATATTTTATTAAGAATTTATGATTTATGATGTGTACTTGTATGGCCATGCAAATATGTGTGTATAATTATACACTAGTATACATGCATACATATATGTATGGATATACACCATTTGTAAATTAGCATTTATAATTAAAGATTTCACATTCGTTTGTTTTTGATTACGAATATTTGAGTCAATATAATATTAACATAACGATGCATCTAATATTGTGCGAAAATTTAAACAATGAAGCTGTAACATTACGTAAATCAAAATTCATATAATTGAAACAAAAGTTACATGACAGTAACAAAACTACATAAACAGTAAAGAATAACAACTGTAACAAAATTACACGTGTGTAAAAAAATATAATTTTTATAATTTTTCTCGATTTTACTCTGGAACGTATCAAGTTATTCAAATAAAAAAAAAAAAAATTGTGAAGATCATGGAACACAATAGGTATAAGTATAATAATAGTGATTGTAATTATGCTGTAATATTAATTAAACGTGCCTTGAATAGCACAATAGTTATCATCATATTGCTTTAAGTAAGTTTCGTGTTTAAGCACATTGAATTGTATAACATTTTTTTTACAATGAAATATAGCAGGCAAATGAAAGAAGTTAAGTTTTTTAGAACAATTCCCAATCAATTCACGATATATATAGCTCGTAAATAATGTTAAACTTTCATTATATTCGTAATAATGTGGCAATATATCTTCGTTTGGTCTGCGCATTTTTTTATATTTTTTAAATTTAAATAATATTGAACAATGAATTTATATTCGAACGGTTTAACATTTATAATCTTATTATTATAAATGTCAACATATTATATTCAAATAACCATTTTTTTATGTATTAGTATACATATAATATCTATACTAGCAAGTATTTTGTATTATATTACTTGTATATTTGTATAATGTGTAGCATAATGGGAATCTTCAAATTTATTTACTTTTTGCAATTATTTTTCCAATAGACAGATTAAATATACATATACATATACTATTGGTCGCTAGGCATGGAGTGCTTAATTCCTGATACGTTATGTATATCGTAAAAATATTGCGAGATTACGATTCGATAACAATTTAGACTGTCGATAGATCAAATATTTTCCTAATCGATTCCTTAACGATTACGATTCGTTAAAAAGATTGTAGTTCGTAATAATCATAGAGATATAAAAACAAAGTCTGTGAGCGAGCTGAGAAGATAATATAGAAATAGAAAGAGAACGCTATATAAAGATCTTTTCTTATTTGTATAACACATGCTTATTCGTACAGTAAATATGTAAGTGTAAAGTAACACCGATCAACGAGCAGCGTCGTGTGCATACTTAATTAGAGGACATAGAAAGAAAGCAGAAGTCTCTATGCAGCGTTCTTTTTCTATAGATATATCGCATCCACTTACACGATAACATGACTCAGGTACTCCATCTTTGTATCTCTATGGTAATAACGCGTTAAATATAATTCTAAAATACATCGTTCCATATTTAGGTTAAATAAAATACACTTATATTCGTAGCATTATGTCTATTTTCTATATCACTTTATAACAATCATTATATATACATGAATGTTCCTGATATACATATATGTACGTATATACAAACACGTCTCTCGATATAGAAAAATAGGAGAATGAAATTACATTTGGATTACGTTAATGAAATGGATCCACCGTTTGATAATTATATATCTAGTCGTTAAGGGACCAAAAGGAATCGTTATGTTTGTTTTCTCATTAGCAAATATTTACGTTTTCCTTCTTGAAAAATCTGATTGATACCATACAGAGAGATAGTTATTCTCCATTTTTCTTCCGCCGATCAATACCACGGAAATTGTCGAAAATGTTCACCTTATTTTATTATGTTCACACGTCGAGCTTCTTAACGTGTTAAAGTAGCCAAAAATTTCCTATTATACGATTCAAATCCTAAGCTGTGCTGTTCAAGTTCCAAACAGAAACCCGCCACCTGTATTCTGACCTTTTTATTGGTCAAGCGATTTTAATGTTGTTTCAATCGGAAATATGCCAATCACAATCGACAAGCGATAAGAAATAAATATCAGCCACTTTCTCTATGTGATGGCTTTCATGACATTGACACCCATCGATTGCTAGGATTCTATGCCAAGTTTCCTATATGTTTCCCTGTCTACCGTAACTAATCTGCCTTCCACGCTCGAACAGTCCAATTCGATACAATGTAACCTGGCACCCCATTCACAGTGGCTCTGATCGTCTTGGCGGTAGTATTTGATCTGCAGACAAGTAGTCAGGTAACCGGAACCCAAGACACGCATGGCTATTGGCAATTCTTCACGATGACCACGAGCACTCGCCGGTATACCCTTTGTGCTGTGATAAGCACTGTAAGCACAGGCTGTCCCGTCTCGTGCACGTTCAATCGTTTCCACTTGTTTCCCTCCTATGCTCAGGGACCTATAAATTTTAAGATTATTATTTAGGTAAGTTTATGATTATTATTTAGCAAATTATGTCTAAAATTAAAATTACTACTATATACGACTATTATAATTTATTAAAATTAGTGGAATATGATAAAAACAAAACAAAAGATATTGAACATTATAATGTCTACTGTGATATTATTACAGGTGATCTACATACATCTCATGAAGCAGTGATGTGATCTAGTACAGGGACGTATTATGGTTAACTAAGAATCGCAGTGGTGTAAGTCATTGTCAGTTTTTATAAAATAATGTTCTGCGTTTATTGTTATAGAAAATATCTCGCTATGATATGTAACAAAAAGATTAGATAGGTACTGTACAAAATTATTCATTTTAATATTTAGTAGGTAAAACAGTTTTCCATTCTTCCCATTATATTCATAAAAATATGAATTTATATTAATATTCGCAGTTTAGTCATGATATTCAGATTTAACAGAGGCTTATGTTTTTTCTGTTCGTAAAAACTAGAGTTTTCATTAAAGTTGTGCTACTATCAGCTTACAGGATTGTTGAAATAACAACCCAGAACATTAAGATCGCAGTCACAAGATCGTACAACTCAAATCAAGTTCTCTAAAGTGATGGAACATGCCTTAAATCTCGGAGAACTTATAGTACTCTGAAGAGCCTCAAGAGCGGAGCCTTATTGATAATATAATCGCAGAATTTACATTAGGTTGTTATTACATGCACAAGTTATTCGTTCCAGTTACGCTAGTTTGTAGCTGCATACGTAGTACCATAACTTTATTTTCTCCACTATCTCCATAAATAAATCTCGTTTGCATATTAACGAAGTCTCATCTAATAATCACTTTAGAAATATTCATAAATTTGTTCGTTAACTCGTAACGATCACTTGATGCGTGTTATAACATACGCTATTTGGATATTATTGTAAGCAAATAAGCAATTTACATTTCCACGTTATCCGCTTGCTTTTTGTACTTTTCTTTTGTAATCTGCATTTTACATTTTAATCTTCTACGTCGTTAATCTTCTTCTTTTAAACGAACCTGTGTTTCCTAAATTGTAGGTAGCAGAGAAAGAGTAAGAGGGAGGGGGCGGCGGCGGTGAGAAACGCTCGTTAGGTTCCACGGAAAAAGGAAAACAAGCAAAAGGTTCTGGCTTCAAGGCTTTGACAAACAGGACAATTTGAAAGTCTACCGAAAGGTTAATCGAATCGGACGCTCTTTAGTTTCAATTGTATCCATGCATCGAAGCAAGTCTGATTCATTGATCGCAAATCGATAGACGCGATTCACGTTGATGGCAGGCGATGTTACAGAATCGTACTTTAAATTCATTTGCATCTTCAGCCGGCTAGTATTGGAGTATATTCTGAATCTCGTTTCCGGTATCTATTGTGCACCATCTGGCACGTATCGCGGAGCCGCAATCATTTACAAAATAGTCGCGACATCCCGACATGTTGCAAATTGCTGAATTTTAACTTCGTCCCCATCCTTCCCTTCATATTCGTAACGATCCTCATTGTAGAAGACGTATTGTAATGAAATAGGATGGAATTTATTTTAATGGGTTCGTGATTTGGATAAACAGACGATCAAATGAATTGAGCGTAAGAAACACAAATATCAGGATATAAAAGGAATAGATTGAGCAATATTATCGTTAAATGTAATTGAAACGATATTCCATTACATTCAGTTGAGATATTTGTCGAAACATTCATCATATTTGCTATTCATCAAACATATCGTTCTAGACTAACTAGAAGTTACTGAAAATAACTTTCTCCCACTAAATATGAATATTTTTATAGCGGTACTTCCGTTTTATGTTCCATCTATGAAATTACATCTCCTAAAATGACGCCCATATAAAATAAATATCGCCTCTATAGAGTTTCCAATATCGTCGGTGAACTTTAGTATTTTATGCACAAATTTACATTCGAGTCTTCGTGTATAATCTTCAATTTCAATGCGTTTTATCCTTTCTAATCGATCGACAATCGATCCTAAGTGTATCCGCTTATAAATGAATCGGTACAAACGTAAAGTTTCGACAGAGCTACAAATAAAAGGAGGAAGTTATTTCAAGCGTTTCGTTAAGCGTTCCTTTGCTAAATACGTAATCGGCTAGTAGAAAATGCATTTTTGCATTGGCGTATCGGATAAATTTTCGCTGTTCAACGAAAACAATACGTGCGTGCGTTTCTATAAATAGTAAATTCATATAGTGTATGCTTTAAATATTAATACATTCCGCATAGTAACCGCGGTGTAACTTGGCTTCACTTCAAGCCTTGTCGTATATTTTTAGTGTTTTGCAGGAGCAAATGATCCCTACGCGTATCAATGTCGAGCATCATTCACGTGTTAGAAATGAGTTCTCGTGACGCAGAAGCATATACATATAATGTATAATTATTTGGTAATGCGAAGCCAACCAGCGTCAGAGATTTTGCTTGCTGTTTAAATAGTTCAAATTATAGTCCTTGATATAGCGTTCTATGAGGGAGGAAATTGGAACAGAAAATCGTTGTTCAACAAGCGTAATACTTTCTCTTACTTCCTTTTGTATATTTCAAAAAAAGAATATAAGGAAGAGGAAGGAAATTTATATTCATTTATTCGATACATAAAACGAGTTAATTTGTCGCTCGAACCAGTAATAATTTACACCGAATAGTTCATGTTTATAGGGTTTATTAACTTCTTAAATAGACTATAACATATAACATTATGTTAAATATAATAACATTGGTTTCAAAAATACTTTGTCGCATTTATACGAATTTTGTTTCGTAAGCAAATACAAATCTGGTTATGAAGATTTAATCTTCTGGTTCAGAAAGACTTTCCCATTGGGAAATGACCCAGTTATACAATAGTTAAGTATAAAAGTTAAATATCGGTTTAATATTGCGTCCATCATCATAATAGTTTGCTCTGTTTCAGTTGGAAATACAGAGACTCGAAAATTGGAAAAGTGATTCGAGCACGAGAAATCTTGGCAATCGAAATTATAGCAGTTGATTCCACAGGTTCATTAAGATGGCACATATTATAAAATACAAATGGTAATTAAATTGGATTAAATTATTTCTACGAAACGACAGTCGGTGAATCGCTAGCTTGTTAAGAGAATTTTACTTTAGGGTCAATGAGTTTACGTATTGTTCAAACAAGTTTCATTACGTTAAACATTGTTCGTGACTATCGGTACTTTATACGCTTCGCTATTTCGTATATTTTCTGCATTCATTTGAGAAACATTTTTATTTTTTATTGTTAGAGTTTCTCTCTGCTTCTCCGAGCAATAGCATGGCTCGTGTTGTTCACTGTTCTGTCGATTTATATTCGAAAAACTATCGTCGAAACGCGCAGGAAATAGAATATAAAATATTTGTGATGTCAAAAAGTAAAATATTTTTTTTCTATAATTTATAAATCTAAAACAAAATACACCAAGTTTCAAATATACCACACTGTTGCCGAAGTTGTTAATATTACAATTATAGTTGCTATAGGATTTAAAAGAAAAATTCTTCAAATTGTTCTCCGGCTTTTATCGCAACCGTGCAACGTTCATGATGAAATTTATATACGTTTTTAAATTACAAATCAAATACACAATGTACTAAGTTTCAAATAATTAATTACATTAAAAGAGAAACTCAGTTTTCCGATAATGTCTCCCTATCGTACTCGCCTTTCCATCGCAATTATGCAATATTCCCCGTATAGTTAATATTTTCATATTAGAAGCGAAAAATGATACACGTGAAAAGTTAAACAAGTGAGATCGTAACCAGGATTATTATCAACAAAATTGCTATCAATTCCGGGGCAATGGGAATCGAGTCTTATTGCTTTGTGCCTTCGATCGCGATCACGCAATATTCAACGAGTAAAATTTACATTTTCGTATCAGTGATTAAAGGTACGGCACATAAAATCCTAAATAAATAAAACTGTAATGTAGATTACTGTTAAGATTATCCTTTGAATTACTATTACGAATTACTGTTATAAATTTAACCCTTATAAAGCTAATGGTGCAATACATCTCATAAATGGAACTGCGTATCGCATTTAAAGGATCACGACTGACCTAGATTTTTTCAAACGTATAAATGCAACATCCAGGGTAAGTTCATTAGAAATAGCACCCATACATAAACCAAAATTCGAATTTAAACAGGAAACTTACTCTCTTTTCTAGCTCTACTCCCATCGCTTCTGTACCTTCGATCGCAATCGTGCAATATTCATCTTCGAACTTGGATAATGTTAGCGTTCCTTTTCAGGTTACGAGGAATTCAGCAATTGCTTGAGTCAATACGGTCGTCGTCAGGATGTTCAAAGGCGTGCTCCTTAAACATTAAACGACCCAGAGGACTGTCTAAGCCCGTGACGAAATCGTAAACTCGAGATTCGCATTCCCAGCACGTCGCTTTTCGATATTACTCGTAAAGAACCAAAGCACGCATGGTCGTTGGTCGTAAAAATAAAGAGCACGAAGAAATTTTTGGTGCAATACATTCGGGTCGTCGTCGTCATCGTCGTCGTCGTCGTCGTTGATCAATCGCAATCGCGGAATCGTTTTAGCGAAATAACCGACGGATATATCGATGTAGATACCTTATAAAGAAGCTTTTCGATGGCAAATTACGAATAATACCTAGAGGCGTATCCACGTTCGATCGATACGATTCTATCGCCGTTCGTGAAAAATGTAACGAGTCCTAGATCGTAAGCAGTGTGCAGACTTCTTTGTTCGTTTCTCTCCTCTCGATTCAACGTAGAACATCCAATTTTCCCGATTAATCCCTCTCGAGAGTTTTTTTGCTTGGAAACAACGGCCTACCATGACGAGCACTTCTTAATTTAGAAGAAGAAGAATCGCGTCTCTACGAGATTTCTTTCATTGGATGTTCGCGGAGTATTGCGAACGATTTTTGGTATTTTCGGGAGATTTTTGTGAGAATATTAGATTGCTGGGAAAATTCCTGGCGAAAGATTAAGAAAGATTTAATTAGAATGAAACGCGAGGAAAGATTCCGCTAAAATTAGAGTTTTTGATATCCGTCACTTCAGCAGTCTGTTCTTGTCCTTCTCGTCTTATCGGGTAATGAGTTTCTTCGAATGATTTTTACAGACTGCCGGAGTATTTCGTTTCTTGTTTACGTCCTTCGAACGAATCCTGTAGAGACTACAAGAAAATAACGAGGCTGTATACTATATTTAGCTCACGAGACGAGACGCTGTATATAGATAAAGTTAAATTAGTTGTCGATCGATACGTAGATATTTTTCTTTGCCAAAGATTACGATATCGTAAGAGACCATAGAGTCTTTTTAGCAGCCACGAAACCTTGGTAACCACTGTGTTTTACTATCGACAGAGTTTCCCCGATTTCTCTTATCCTGGAGGAAAACCGAGGTGGTACGGCTCAAAGGAAATGACCAAGAACGATTGTTGGTGGAAGTTGGAAAAGGAACGCGTGGCAGCGATAAGGGTGGAGATACGTTGGACTGATAGCAGGCAACGAGGTAAAAATTTCTCCGTTTCACTCGAGACATGCAACGGTAAGCCATTCTCTGCATTAAATACTAAAAGTAGATATTTCTGGTTGATTTTTAACGATGAAAGCTCCGTCCGTGATCGATTCGCCGCGATTCGAAAGCACGATTCGAGTGTTCTCGTCGTACGCTAACTAATTCAGAGTTTCGCGTGCAAGCAAAATTTCCTCAAGACGAAATCGAACAAAATCTAGCCAGAGTCTCCACTTTAACGATCGTGATACCGTTCCGTTCGATCCTTAGACACGCAGTGGATTTGGCCTGCTTTGATCTCGGATGATCATCTGGTAGACACTTCGCTTCCTTTTTGCCTCAGTGACGAGAGTTAAAAAAAAACACCAACAACGAGAAGAGAAGTTCCGTCGCATTGAAAATAATCCCTCTGACAAACTCGCCAACAGCGGAAACGGCTTTTCTGCTTCTCTATTCAGGAAATTCTTTGTTCGTCGTACCTCGTTTTCTTTTTCGATACAGGCCAATTTTGTTCGGTTCGCGGAACGAAACACAGAGTGTTCATTTAACGCGCTTAAATTCGTATTGTACATTTGTAACCGACTTTGTAAACGGAATTAGAAAGTTACGATATACATCACGCGCCAGATAAGATCCTCCGAGGTGTAGGAGCGTTCGATTTAAAGTAGAACTATCTGGCTCTGTTAGCTTTCCATCCACGCGCGCGTTTCCCCCGGAAATCGACTCCGCCGAATAAAGTGCATGCATACGTATCAGGCGAGAGAGAGAGAGAGAGAGAGAAAGAGAGAGAGAGAGAGAGAGAGAGAGAGGGAGCGAATCCCAAAGCGACGACTTTGATAGATCACGTGCAATTTTCGGAAGAAATATATTTTCACTTCACCAGCGGAAAACATCTTGCTCGTAATTCGACGCGCTTTTCCGTTTCGATTGCGCCACTAACATTCCGAATACGCCACCAAGATCAGACTTTAATTAATTCGTCCAACTGTTTCGCGGTTATGAGGTTTACTAGTCGCGACCTAAATCGTTGGCACGCTATTACCTAGACTGTATTGGATCTTCAGCAATTGACTCTGCTTTATGCTATTCGATTGTGGCAGTACTATACTGAAAGCTTATTGCTCGTGTAGAAAGCAATTAAATGGACACTGTTTCGGGTCGATTAAGTGGACAGAGACTGGAACATTCTGTCCGATATTGCATCAATTTAACACGATGTTACGTTGAAAATCCAACTTTCTATGCTGAGATTACCTACCGCGCGTATTATACTTGTTGTTCGAAATTTATGTGATTCAAAGGGCTACGCGAAAAAGTAGGACAATAAGTTTCCCAACCCTGGAACGTCTCCCTTGGCATTATACCGCGTTTTATAAGCCACGTTTTCTCATTCCGTTTTTATAGGCAGACGCGGTATTATTCAGCATACTCATTATACGTGTATTTCATCCAAGATTATTTTACTTATAGTTATCATCTATTAATCTGTTATAAAACTATTGTATATAAAGAAGCTCGCGGAAGTACACTTGTCGAACACTTGTAAAAAATCTTTCACTAATATATATTATCTCGTAACTTCTGTTTACATTTTCATATTGGTTCCAAATTTCATCAATATGATCACGACGATCGTGTCTCGTTACAGAGCTAATAAAGTTTCCAATTGTTTTATGTAACACACACTCTACACGTGTAAAAGCTTCCTATGGTGAGCGTTGAAATATTTTCGTGATCCATCGTATATCAAAATCTTTATGTTACTATTTGTTACTATTTGTCCAGAAGAATGAATCTGTTTGCAAAACTGTTGCCAGAAATAATAACCAAAATTCCAACGTAGATTTCCTGTTTTTTTTTCTTCCTTTTTTTTTCCAGTTTTCAAACAGAGATTGAATCAGCAAAAACCCTACAGCTCTTTCAAATCAAATTGTAGCCGCGTTCGATAGTTCGTGGGATAATTGGCTGCACGTACTTAAATCGATCGGACAACACGAATCTCCGACAAAAATGGTTCCCAATTAGCGAATTTGGCGGCGGAGCGCGAATCTGAGAGAGAGACAGAAATAAAGAGAGGCGAGAGGAAAAAGCCAATGGGACGAAGCTTCCCTTTTAAAAGGCGATCCGTCTGTAAAACAAAAAGCCATTCGCAATCTTGTATTTTTAGTCTCTTTACTTTCTTTCTTTTTCCTCCTCGCCTCTTTCCTCTCTTCTTCTTCTTCGTTTACTCTCCTCTTCCTTGCTGTGTTCGCGAAATAAAGTAGGAACAGTCGGCATTGAAACAGGCGAGATGAAAGGGAGACCTTCGAAAAATAGGCACGTTTGTTCGGGTGGAAATTTGCGACAAAAGTTTCGATAGCGGCCCACCAAGGATACACGCTGTTAATCGAACTTCTAAGCAGTGCCGACAGTTGCACTTTCCGCAGGGATGCGATTTCCTAACAAAGACTCGCGAAAATCGCTGACTCACGTCGACGATAAATAGAGACGATCCCC